TACAAGCGAAAGTAATTAGTCGTTATTAATTGTGTTAAAGACGAAGTGGCACAATTGCTAATTAAATAATGATCTTATCACAACATTTACGTCATATTCAATCAAAACTATGACGTTAACATCATTAATAAAATATATTTTTTTAATTATTATCGAAATTTATAACGTTTTAAACACATTTCGACTAACGTTTAACCTAAAATGGGTTTAATTGAGTTCTAATCGACGATTAACATATCGTTAATTGAACATTAATCGATACGTTAGCTTAAAAATTTGAAACATCAATCACCTTAAAATTCGCCAATATTTCAAGAAAATTGGTTTTAGAAAGTTATTTAGGAAACTTTTTAGTATATGGCGTAGAAATACGATAATAAATTTAAATTCATCTGAAATCCTAACCACCTTCATTTTATTTGTTAGTCTATGGCTAACTATACATCTGTGATTCATGCCCTCCCATTTATTTCTCATGAGCATAATGTTTATGCTGACTCATGGTGGAGAATGAATCGAGGCGTGATCGATCACAAACATGTTGTTAAGGTTTAGGGTCCTCCTACGATTTAAGATTTAACTTCTCTATTTGTACTTTGGTGGTTATTAGGAAACCCTAGGAATCAGTTGGAGATAGTGGCTGCTTTTGCCATCTTTTTGCTGGATACACTCTTGGGCGGCCACTGATGTTTTTGGGTTTCATGTGTATCTATCTATCTTAAAATTATTAAGCAAACGAATGGTTGCTGATTATTTTCATTGGGTAGGCATTCCAGATCCACAGGCTTTTAATAACCGAGCTAACTAGATATCGAACCGTAGCTAGCGAGAGAGCCGTCTGAGGATACTTGCAGTTAAAGTGTTATCCTTACTAAGTTTTATTTATCGCCTCTCTATGTGTTTTATCTCCTTCTACTTACAATAACTTTATCAATATGCAATCGTATTTTACTGGTAAAAATGGGAGGATAATGTTGGCCATTTATGGATGACAAATTTCTTTTTGCCACGTAATGCAAGCACTTTATATTAACCTGCCGCAAATTTCAGAAAAACAATTCGCATATAAATAGAAGAACATGCCAAGAAATCTTATTCTGATCCATAAATAAATTTTAAGGTCAAAGTCAAATACTAAAAATCGGAATTTCCAAACGACGCGCCTAAAATCATTAATTAAATTAACATATGAAAACAAATAATATTGGAATTTGTAATTTGGCATATAAATCAAATAAAACGTCGATCAAGTAGCATTAGATGTTATTAAAAATAAAGACGTTATTAAAAACAAGTTTGATTTCCGGAATGTTTGGTCAAGGTAACAAATCATCTTTATTAAAAATGTGACTTTATTCATCGTTATATTTCTGACGAATATTCATCATGATGATTGCCTTCGTTGGAACAATTCTAAAATCATATAAATCAAATCAGAATTTTCTATTAATTTTATTGATTTTATATAAAGTTATATAAACATCTTACTATTTTTGTTAAGATGTCGTAGCAATGTAGCAAACAACTCGTTATTTTTTATTGAATGTGTATTAACAAGAATTTATTATGCAGTTAAGATATACATCGGGACTATTGTATATGTAGCCAATATAGTCATATAGTTCGTTGCTATATTAAGGACATGGCTTCTCGCAGATATTTCGGATAAGGTCTGGATAAATATGTGTTGGTGATGCCGAATAGAGATACCCGTGGAGTCTCGTGCGGCTCGCAGACTCTTCAACGTCATCTCCTCTACGAGTATCTGCCTCTACTTTTACAATGATTGAGATGTTAAGCAATGTTTTCAGGTTCGCGTAATGTTTTCAATGGTCCATGTCACATAGCATCCGTTCAATAGTGACTTTCCAATATAGCAGTCGAACAACATTTTAATAGATGCATGGCATAACCAGGAAGTGTCTAGTTTTAGTTTTATTTCTAATAACATTGAGAGCCTACGAACTTATGCTAGAAATACTGGGGTTCATGTATATAAATTAATTCGAGCTATCCCCTGCACAAAGATCACTGGTGTTATCAATGGCATGCTATCTAACAGATGCTTCCAAGCCATCATGTGCCAACTCTACTGCTCTTCAGTCTCTAGTCTCTACATAGTAGACATGCCTGAAACCACATCAAAGAAGTTCGGATACGCAGATGACTGTGCTTTCGCTACAAACCATAAAGAAGTGAAGACTACTGAGCAAATTCTAATAAATGACCTGGCTACCTTGGGAAAATATATCCGCGACTGGAGATTACAGCCCAATGCCGGCAACATGGAATAATCGTGCTTCCACTAAAACAATGGGATGGCTAACTACCAACTTAAAATGTACCTTAAAGACAGAGTTCTTAGTTACAATAATTATATGCCACTCTCGACACTAAGCTTTAAAGAACACGTTACGAAGGCAACAGCAAAAGTCAGAATCCAAAATAACATCCTCCAAAAGGTGAACGGCGCCACATGGGGTTCCTCAGCGTCCACACTTAGATTGAGCATTGGGTCTGGGGTACCTCGTCGCAGAGTACTGTGCCATCGGTGTGGATCAATAGCCCAGCATATTAATCATGTTGATGTCCAACTTAATCAAGCGATGCGTATTATGTCAGGCACAATCAAAGTCACGTCCACTTACTGGCTACCTGGACTGAGCCATATAGCTCCTCCACATGCTCTTGTCAGGGAGTATAGAAAGATTAACGCCGATCCTGTGCTCCGCGCCAACGTTGGAATTGTCGGCAGAGACGTAAGTTTAAAATCTGCAAAAATGCTAGTCGGAAATATCTTCAACATAATTGAACGCTGGAGAGAAGACTGCCAAGTATGAGTACTTGTCAAAGTATGTCATGTTTTATAACCAAGCCAAAGGGTTTCAACCAACCAACATGAATCTGGGCAACACTTCATGTGGGGAAAAATAACCTCACCAAATTGCGATTGTGGCGTTGAAAGACAAACTATTAAATACCTAGTGGAGCAATGCCCGATTATATTCCCATACTTCTTAGCACCTCATCATTGGTGATGTGCTCCGTCCAAGAAATTTTCAGCATTCTTTGGAAAACCCACATTTCAAAGGCTTCCATCAGCTTCATACTATTAATTCCAAAATCCGCGCTTCCACTCCGTACAACAATACTGAATACATGTACGTTTTCACAAATCGGTATCGAACATTCAGTGACAAGGTGGAAAAGCGAATCTGGTATATTCTATACGAGCTCGCACTTTAACCCCATGGTCAAGATCGTTTGTTATCCAGCAACCAAGATACTGGAATCTGTGTACAGGTTTTATCTCCTTGTTATAGATACAAACATTAATGCAGGGATTTGGCATACATGTCACATCCATTACATTTGTTTTGTTTATGCTTATTTTTAACCCAGTATCTCCTTCCCTCGTCACGGCATTCAAAAGTCGTTGCAATCCCTCAGCATTATCTGCAATTATGACTGTGTCGTCTGCTTATCTTAAGTTGCTTACATATTCTTCGTTGACTTTGATTCCTTCCTCAATATTTTCGAGTAATCGAATCTTGTTCGTAATCGATAAAGCAAAGGAACACGTTTTTGCGTTGATCTCGGCATTTTTGAGCAGCATCTGAAAGCCAAACAGCGCTTCCCTTGTATCAAATCCCATACGGAATCCAAAGTGATTGTCGCTTAGGTTTTTCTCGCATTTTCTGTATATATGTTGGTGTACGACTCTGACTAATATTTTCAGGATGTGACTCATTAGACTGATTAACTTAAAGTGTGAGTATCTATTTGCTTTATTTTTTTTTGTGGGTGTAGGTACAAACGTTGATGTGAGCCAGTTTTCTGGGAATGTTTCCGTGCTATATATTTTGTTTATTAGCAATGTTAAGGTCTGAATGTTTTCTTCATTTATAAGTTTTATCATTTCTACATATATGGGTTCACGTTTGTGATTTAACTTCTAGTAGTGTGCTACAAGGTGGTATCATAATACTCCCTTACATTAATCACTGCAATGTTGTTTATGGACCTCATCTAAAGTATATATTTGATTGTTATAAACTAAGTTGTAGACTCACCCAGATAAAAATCTCAATCAGCTTTGAGATTAATTACAGTGAGACTATTATTATAACTATTAATATGGAAGTTTGAAACGGCAATAAATAAAAATCGGCTTATAAACATATAATTTTACTTTAGCGACGCATTAATTTTTAAATGATTTATAAATCCATTAATTATGCTGACACGAAAACACTGACTGAAAATAAGTTAAAGAGGTCTTTGTTGTAAATATTGAAGTAGGAACCAAGACGTATTACGAAAACGTGCATTTTGAGCCGATTTCGCAGAACTTCCCAGATAATATTGATGAGGAGAGGCGCACACATGCACACCGTCGGCAAAATTTCCCACGGATCGTTAAAATGCTGATGTAACAGGCAAGGTTATATTCGCTCCCGGCTTCGTCTCAAAACGTTTTACAAAGGCGTCTTCATGAACTTTTCAAAGAGGAGACCGCAATTACTGGGAAGCATAATAACTTCACATTTTCTTTATTGCACACAAACGAACAATATTATCTACTCTTTAAATTCTTTGCAATTTAATACAAGAATTTTAACAAAAATAAGAGTAGAATCTTAATTAAATTAACATCATTAGGATCAATGTAAAAGTATCTAAGGCGGCAAATTAATGAAGAATTTCAAGGTTTAAACGATAAATGCAATTTTAACAAGGTATTTTTATCTACTTTTTTATAGACATTAAATTGTTATTTTTCATTGTGTTGAAACAAAGGCGATTCTTTAATCAAAGTCCTCGATCGCTTGAAGGAAATTTTTGTCTGCACGTTATATAATTTTAACCTCTTTAACCTGCTATTTAAGTTCGAAGGACGATTCAAATCCGCCAACATCCACGCGATTCATTTTCAATTTGCATAAATATCACGTTTCTACGTCTCATTTCAAAAGTTAAAAAATAAAATAAAAACTTACTTGGAATAAACTAGCTGTTAAATCTTCCAATTCGCTCTCTACATCCCTCCGTATCCTCGTTAATTTGTCAACTTCCTCATCCCTTAATCTTAATTCATGATGGGCTTCTTGCAGTTCCTTTCGCAATCTACTATAACTCAACTCGTTAAATTCGTTGTCTTCGCCGCCGGTCCAATCAACTTGATCTCCGCTTGGTCCTTGCCCATTACTGCTACTTTCATGGTCTGAAGTGCTATAAGCTAAATCGATTTCGTCTACACATTTCTCTAAAAGATCGCTATAAACCGAACTATCTGAACTATTTCTATGCATCCCGTTGATTCTTTCAACTTTGTCGACAACTACAACTTTATCGGTTATCGTTGATATGTCGGAAATTAAACCGAAATCGTTGGAATTGTGGTTGCTAAATAGGTTCTTTGTTACATGGTCTTTTATGGAACAATCTTGTTCATCTAATTCGACGTTATCCTCTTCGTCGGTAGTGTAAGATTCATCGCCGGTCGTTCCAGTTGAACCAGCTCTTTTATGCTTGTTGATTAGGGTGTTTGAGTATACTCCTGCTGTCATTGGAGACATTAAAAGACCTTTTCGAATGGAAATTGGTTTAATTGATTCTTGTTTAGACTCCATCGTTTCTGGTTTCATTATATTTATAGAATAGAGTTTATACCATTTTATGTGCGTTGAGATTGTTCTGAAACAAAAAGATAAAATTAAATTCGATTTAATTAAAATTAAACTAAAATTTTTTTTTGAAAAATCATTTTGACAGAGTTTGTCAGTTATTAAGACATTTTTTATTTTGAATTTAATCGTGATTGTATTTATTCCAACAGAACATTAAAGAACAAAGAACCCACACACTACTTTCATATGGTTTTCTCATGGTGATTGTGAGTAAAGAAGTTGAGAGAACAAAGGGACATAAATAACAGTTAATACGCTGTGTCGAAGAACGTTTCAGAATGGAATGTGAAACCAAAACCGGTGAAAGAATTCGAAAACAGACGTGTTTATAACGACTAAACTTAGCCCCATCAATTTGTTTCCCTACCTTTTACATTTTCAAATTGAAAGGAAGTTAATTTCCTTTCCGGTTCTTCCCTTCTATTTTAAGCCGTTTCTACTTCAATTTCTTTAATAACACGTGGAAAGGAAATTACTGATTTAAACTTAATTTAATCGAGCAGATAATGAACGAGGCTTGTCACGCCAATTCATCAGTTGTATTCAATTATAATGAGGTTACTTTCACTCGATTTCTGACGCTTCAGTTTGTGAATGTGTGTAAAATAAAATTTCACTTCTATAGTGTTGAAAAGAAATTTTTATAAAATGTTATAACTGAAAGTATTGGTTCTGAAACAAGGCTGATACATCGCCGCTTGGAATAGAAAGACTTCAAGGTAAAAGTCATAAATTGAACGTAAAATCCGTTCGTGCTGAACCTGTTGGGTTTTAAACCCAATTAAAGTTTTAAATAAAAATGTTCACACAACTTCACAGGAACTTAATATAAAGGTGGAACACAAAAGAGGTCTCACGGTGTAATTTAATAGCAATTGCCGGGCAACAAAAGGAGAGCTATGAATAAGGAAAAAAATGAAATTATGAAGGTAGTAGCTTCTTTAGGATTAAATTACATAGGACCAAGAAACTTAATAACTTACAGGCTTGCACATAATCAAACAAGTTCAACACTAAAAAAAATTTACTGAAAACTTTTCTTACGTTCACAGATTATAAGCATATCAGGAATTCGAAAAGGTTTCAAGACCTTTTATAACAAAGGTTTAAATGTTATTGACCTCGATCGGAATGAGATTTCTTTACACTTTGCTCAATACACCTTAGAAACTCCGTGGGTTGGGCACATAACACATTGTTTGGCGTCTACCAGTATTAGATTATTCGCATAGTACCGGGTTTTATGGTTTAACTGCTAGGAATGAATAAATTAAATTTGCAATGATGATTAATACATTAAATTCTTTGAAATGTCAATGAACATTCTTCAAATATCTATGAGGTCATCTCAACGCAAACTTTAAAAGCGTTATCATCAATTAATCGTGATTCATTTCAATATAATTAAATTTAAATACAATAAAACCTCGATATAACAAACCTCGTTAGAACGGATGGTTAAAGATTAAGATCTCATCATCTTCTCTTAAGATGGTTAAATCCGAATGTTTCTAGAACAAAAATCTAACGCGAATCACAACTAAAACTAGAACTAACACTAGACCCAGAGCTATAATCATTCGGGTTTAGCCGTGCGTCTCTTAAGACTACTAAATCCGAATGTTTCTAGTTCTAGATCTAGTGATCTAATACTAACACTATCACTGGAACCAACTCTAGACCTGGAATTAGAATCATTCGGGTTTAGCCGTGCGTCTCTCAAGACGGCTAAACTCGAATGAGTCCAGTTCCAGGTCTAGTATTGGTTCTAGACCTGAGTCCAGTGTTGGTTCTATAACTGTTTCTAGTGTTAGTGTTAGTATTAGATCATTAGAACCAACATTAGACCTAGAACTAGAAACATTTGGGTTTAGCCGTCTTAAGAGACGCATGACTAAACCCGAATGTTTCTTGTTCTATAAGTTTAATGTTGGTTCTAGTTATCTAATACTAACACTAACACTAGAATCAGCACTAGACCTGGAACTAGAAACATTCGGGTTTAGCCGTTCGTCTCCCAAGACGGCGGGTTTAGCCGTCTTGGGAGACGAACGGCTAAACCCGAATGATTCTAGTTCCAAGTCTAGAATTGGTTCTGAGTCCAATGTTGGTTTTAGTGTTAGTATTAGATCACTAGAACCAACATTTAGACACATTTAGAAAACATCTAGAACCAACATGTCGAACTAGAAACGAAAATGTTTCTAGTTCTAGGTTTAGTGTTGGTTCTAGTGATCTAATACTAACACTAACACTAGAACCAGTACTAGACCTGGAATTAGAAACATTCGGGTTTAGCCATACGTCTCTCAAGACGTTTAAACCCGAATGTTCCTAGTTCTTGGTATAGTGTCAGTTCTAGAGCTAGTGTTAGCTCTACTTTTAGTTGTTATTCAGACATAGGTTGCTGTATACTTTTCTTTTTTTATATCTATAAATCTAAATTAATCATCTCATTATTAAATATATCATATTTATTGGGATCATGTCAAAGAAATATAAATTATTACAATCATTAATTAATTGAATCACTCTAATGGTCAACGATAATCATTCGTAATTAGATTATTCAGAAACGAAAAACGTTAATAGAAATCACCTTGGACTTCAATTCTCACACCGATTCTATTTAATGTCATTCACACGACCTACGTATGTATGACGACTTTTAGAAATGAAATGTTTAAACAGACTTGCTTAAGTTAAAGTCGATGATGAGAATTTAAATTAGTGCCAATTATAATTTCAAGATAGGCGCAAAATGAAATGATGAAGAAACCGCGATGAGGTTGATTAGTTTATTTAATACCAAATCGAGGTTTCTATGAGATTGAATACGATTTAAACCGGGTTTAACGGTGGTTTTGGTTCGATTGTATTAAATGGATTAGAAAATAACTGAACATTCAATGATCTATAAAGAAATTTATTTGTACTAAAATTAACAGCAATTTATTTAATTACCGTTACACATTAAAAGATGAACTGGTTTCATTCGTTAGTGACTGAAAATGTACAAAGGTTAACTGTAAAACACCTTTTTTAAACATTCCTATAAAATTACAGTTCCTAAAAACCCGCTGTTTTAGTAATAAAACCCCAAGAATGCGATATTCTAAACCCAATTGGGTCAGGTGATATCGGAGTATCTAAAAAGGAAAACCCGAATCGCACCTGTATAATGTTATCCTTTAACATTCTTGCATTCCATGGTAAGGTGCGCACTTGAAAGGCGATAATAATAAGAACTATTCGAAAGTCATACTGGCTTTTAGTTTTATTGTTATCTCTACAATTACCACTTCATTGACTCTGAGTACTACTTTCTTATTAACAAATCAATGGATTAAAAAAAATTAATAAACATTATTGCATAATCTTTTTTTAACAAACCTTGTTATTTATCAATTTTACGGTGAATAAGTCACAAATACTGTGTGTAATGTTTGCCTTTTAAATTATTTCTTCATTTTTCAAGTTACAACAAATGTTAGCTTAGGCTAAATTGAATGCTTTTAAAAGATAATGTAAAAGATAATTGTTGTGGGTAGATATTTCGTGGAAAATATAATTATTAAATGGTATTTAAACCTATTTCTAATTGAGTCATAAATGTAATTGACCTAATTAGTTCGTTTTAATTTAATATAGATAATATTTATTGGGATAAAGTAATTACAATACAGCAATCACAGAATAGGCAAAGCGGAATTAATTTGGACTAATTCCAAAATTAGATTACCTATTTATAATAAATCTCTTTAAAAATATCAATAACAATAATATTATTGGTAGATTATATACATAACAAAGTATCATAGGTCGTAAAATATACAAGAATGTAACATAATCGTTAGATAACATAGATTATATGCGTTTGAGCGGTTGCAGTAAGATATATAGAAAGCTAGTAGATATCATTGATTATATATACACTTAGTGTAGTTGTGTGCAAAATTTGCACCTTTGCACCATTGAGCCTTCCGACATGAGCTACCCAAATCAATCTGTGATTAAGAAATATACCCAGATTTGCACATAGCTTATCAAAGTAAGAAATCTAAGACATAGGCTTTCTCAGTATTAAGTGTCACAAACTGTGATAATTTAGAAATTCACTGATAATGATACAAGCTTATCCGAAGTCGCTTGCTGCCGAGGTGGTTCAAATGCAAACCAGTTTTGGGTTGATGTGGTACCCATTCTCTATTCCAAGTTTAACCAAGATTTCTTGTAATCGAGGTGCTGTAGTATATGTTAACAGATTAGATAAATGTGGTATTAATTATAACGTGTGGCCCATAAGGGATCTCGGTGCAATCAAGCGAAGTCATATCTTTTCTGCTAAAAGTTTAGCCCATAAAGCTGGAGGCTGAGACGCTGCAATGTGTTAACTAGTTTAGCACTGTACGCCATTGGTTCAAGCCATTCCAGCTTAATAAGGAGAAATACATTTTCCGCATTAAGTTTAAAGGTCTATTAAAAATTTAGTATCGGTGCGTTATTTATGGAAGCAGTAATATGCGCTATGGGATAAAGTATGTGGTACAAAAACAATTAACACGGGCTCATATATGGAACGATAAAGAATCCAGACAGAGAACAGACTTAAAGAAGAGTAAATGATATTTCGGCCTATTACACAAACACAGGATCACATATACAACCTCAAAGCCATAACAGAGAAAACATTAAACAGAAATATGGATATATACCTAACAGATGGGCCTAAATACAACTTAAGTAAGGAGTTAAAATCTGGAGACAAGGTTAAAATCTACGAAGAGTGATCAAAGGCATATACACAAAAGTAACAGGTACAGTTACACTGAATGGAAAGACATCGGATGAGTTTAAAATGGAAAAGTGGATTAAACAGGACTTCAGTCTTAGCTAAGATACAATATCAAAACAACTCAAAAATCATACAAAACCGCCAAGGGATTTCACAACCCAACTCAGATCTGACGTAAAATGTAGTATACGCAGACGATATTGTATTAATAT